AGGCTGTAGCGCCAATGCAAAAAAAAAAAAATATACAAGTTCCTTCTGTTATTGCTCATTGTGTGTTTTGGCTCAGGACGGAAGTCACATTTTCTCTGAATCAGTATGCATCTTTGGTCATGCGGGTTGCTCACTGTGCTAGGGACTCTCCGGTAGATACAAAGTTAACAAGACAATGGAATTTCTGCGCTGGGCTTCCTATACCACACGGGGACTTTGACACACATGGTTTGAGTCATTTGCGAATGCTGAATTGTCTCGTTTTACCAGACCGAGCTCTGCAAACTGCGAGATGTCTGGACCGCCTTCAGTAGCGTGGCACTAAGTCCTTTATTGTGTTTACTGGCATAAAGCCCGTTGAAATTTCAGCGGGGGGGGGGAGATTTTCTGCATTTGTCGTCATCAGACCTGGTCACACTAAGTTTACTTCATTACGGTGCAGTCTTGTATATTACAGCCCTGAAAATATATACATGCTCTACACACTTGAAGTTCTGAACTGACATATAAATATATACCAACATATTAAACACGATAAAATAATATGCAGTTGATAGGATGGGGTGGATTGGTCTGGATCAGTCGCGGGCCCATGTGAACATGGCAATTAACCTTCGAGTTCCATAAAATAGTGGGAAATTCTTGAGTAGCTGCACCACTGGCGGCTTCTCAAGAAAGATTTAATTGCATGGAGCTAGTTAAAGCAATACGATATAAACAGTGCTATCTGGTTTTACACTGTAACCATTTTCGACAAAAGTGGACACTGCTATACCAACTGACTCTTATTGATGCCATCTCGTGACTGTCTGTAACTCCTACCAACTCACGACTGCTGTAGCAGACGTGACTAAAGAATAATTACTGTTCGTCTTTATATTTTATGGAGGCCGCGCCATAGCTCAAGCGGTTAGTCGCTGGCTTCCCACCGTGGCGGCCCGGGTTCGATCCCGGGTGTGATCAAGTGGGCCTTGTGGTGGACACAGTGGCGCTGGGGTGGGTTTTCTCCGAGTACTTCGGTTTCCCTTGCCAATCTTCATTCCACAAAATTATCCATCATAATCACCCGGGGCAGGATACAATAGGCCAGTCAGTGGCCGCCGTGCCGAGTGGACCCAGTTGGACTTCACTCCCAACTAAGCGAATTTAGAAAAAAAAATATTTTTATGGGTGTTTTTTCGTTGATTCGCAAAGACTCAATTCCCTGTAGGGACATGTTGCTTTCCCCTGTGAAACTTGCATCGGTAGGACTCCTTGGACGGTTGATCAGCCCGTCGCAAAGCCGCTACTGTCAGGATAGTTTAGTGAAGGGAACATACGAGGCTGTTAATGCGGTCTGAGAGAGCCCTTGCCTGCCCAGTAGCACCGGAACGCAAATCTCTGCAATGCAACGAGAGCACACCCGCGGTGCAAGTTACGAGATAGTGCCACAAGCACCCAGCCAGTCGCTACTCGACTGCCACCGGCTTTCTTGGCTTCCTTCGGGCTCTGAGATGGACATGCGACTCTCCCGATCTGAACCAGTCGACACACCTACAAAATCCACCACATTACCTCTGCAGATTGTGAAATTCGACATTAATTCAGAAGACTGAAACATCATAGCCCATGTCTCAACCATCCTGACGTCTACACTTCCATACGAGCAGGCATAGCCTGGGAACCTTCCTCCTGCCGCGTTGAAATGTCTGTCACTTTTCCTGTGACTTCCATTTTCATATATTTGCTTATCTCCCGCTCTTGAGTGTGAACGTTTCGTTGTCCAGTAAGCTACTGGAAGCTGTGAACGCGCTTAAAATGGGCTTCCAGCACGACGCCGTCAGTAGCTGGACTGTGTAGCGTAGAATGGCAAAGTTCTCCCTGTGCACTACACCATGAAGACATATTGGGGGAGTATGCTGGACCTCGGCACTCCTTCACTCCCCAGCCGCTTTAACCCCGGGGAAATAGCCCTCGGCACCCATTGGATATGAGGCTGGGTGGGCCCCAGAACCGGTCTGGACGACTTGGAGACAAGAAAATCGTGCCCTTACCGGGACTCGTACTCCGACCTCTCGGCCGCTCAGGTATGCCGACTACACAATCCCGAATGGATGATAAATTAGAAAGGATTTGGAAGGAACCGATCGTAGCCTAATCAGGCTATAATGCTGGCATTTGCCTGGAGGGATTGAGAAAAATCAGGAGAACCCTTGGTGAGAATTGCCTGTGCTGCTGAGATTCGAACGGAATGCGAGCGTTATTGCTTAGCCCGCCGGTTCCGTGAGTGCATCCCTATTCTAGGCCCTCCTGTCGGATACCGGCCGAAAGTGTTTATGAGAACGGAACGCAGAAGGCGAGTAATGACTGATACTCGTCGGCGTTCCGAGGCCCCAGCTCGTGACGTGTTTGAAGCTGCCGTCCCCGCGCAGGTGTGCGGCAGGCCCTGCTGCGATGCAAATGACTTCATCTGCAGGGCGCGGAGTGGCACTCCTGCCTCATTATGCCACCAGCAGTGACTAATGGAATGGGGCCAAAACGAACACACGCCGACAGCATTGTGCCTGACTCACACGGTGTTCGATAAACATCAGTGGTGAACGTCGGGAGTCGATTCCGCACTGTTACTCGAATATTAGCGTCTGTCTTTTGTTTCCTGTCGCCTGCCGGAAACATAGCTAAACTCATAGATCTGAGTAATTTTTGAGAAGCTAATGGTTGCTCAGCCCATCACAGTGGCCGCGTGATCTAAGGCATGAAATGTCTTCGCTCGCTCGAACACTGCGATCGTGGGTTCGAATCCCTCAAGGCATGGATGTCTGTGTTTATTCTGTGTGTGTGTGTGTTAGGTAGCGGTCTTGCGATGGGCTGATCTCCCGCCCAAGGAATCCTACCGACTATCTAAGATTAAGAAACTAAAGTGAAACGAAGTGTTTCACGGATGCCCTATAGAAAGGAAGAAGAAGAAGAAGAAGAAGAAGAAGAAGAAGAATGGTTGCCCAACTACTCAATAAATCCCTAATATTTTTTTTGAAATGGAAGATTCATTACCATATTCACAAGAACCCGACACTGCTCTCTATCCTGAGCCAGACGAATCCACTCAACGTCCTCCCATCTCATTTGTATAAGATCCATTCTTATATTATCCTCCCATCTACGTCGATGTCTTCATAGTGACTCTTCCCTTCAAGTTTTCCCTTCTAGAACTTCGTATGCACTGACGAGTTTTTATCTTCTGGGATAAAGGCTTTCTGCTTTCTTGCTTGGCTAACTGCGGACTGCATGGCGTCATATCCCAGAATTTAGAACTCTTCATGGTCACCGCTGTCAGAACCTCTAAACCAACATTTGTATACGATTCTGAGCATTACATGCTACATGCCGTGTCCATCTCGCCCTCCTCAGTTTGATCAGTCTAATAGTATTTGGTGAGGAACCTAAACATTTAAGTATTAAAGTAGACAAGAAGTGTAGGTTTATCTGCCGTATGTCGCTCAAACTTCGGCCCGGAGAAGGATATCCTGACAGAAGCTTTCGGGCTTTTCCTCCGTCCCTGCAACAAAATTCCGAGATAGTCCACGACCACTTCCTTCTTCATTAGTTCCCATTCAGCATTCACTGATCATCCTGCCAGTAATGCGCCAAGTCTGAGCTACTAACATTGGCTTTAATGAGCAGTAAATAAGTCGGCGTTCCTCATTTAATAGCCTGAACAGTATGATGAACTCTTGACGTTACTTGTCTTCAGTTGCTGGGGCTCGTTCCCTAAACGCTGGCTTGTCGTGTCAGTGTGAATCAGGCGCGGGGTGCAGCGTGTAATGAAGCTGTCTGTTTGTCTGTCTGTCTAGCTATATTTCACTCCTTCATCGCCGTGACCTCTTGATTAACCTCTGTCAGGGACCAACCTGTCTCGCGTCAGATCGCTCGCCTAACTGCATCAAGGGAAGGGGGCTGTGCCACAGACTTCACGGCGGCTCTGAAGAATTGTAACTGAGCCTTCTATAGGGCATTGACTTCCAGCTGCACAAAGGTGCCAGTGGTGCCACCCGCGTTATTATTGATGTTGATGGTTGATTAACTGTGTAGCAACGAGAGAGAAATTTTGTGGAGTGGTAAATTTCACGCTCGGAATATTCTGCAGTATATCCTGTTTCGTGGCGATGTAGCTATGAGCTGATGGCGAGGAATTGGGGTTCTATTCCCTACAGAGGCGAGAGAATTTTCTTCACTCCACAGCGGCCAGACTGGCTTCGTGGGCTACCAACCCTCCTACCCAGTGGGTACCGGGGGCTCTGTCCCAAGGGTGTGTAGCTGATCACTCAACCTCATCTATTTCCGAGGTTAAGGGCAGTGGAGCTATACCTCCACTCCTTGACACGTGTTCATGGCATTGTGTTTAATTAATTAAGCACAGGGACAACGTTTCACCTTTACATGATTGTGAATACTCTGATGCAGTGAGTGCAATAATGCGGAACTTCCTGACCAGTTGGAAACTAACCCGCAATCAGTTAATCAGACAGGACCACGTTAACGTGAGGTTTGAGGATCTTACGGCAGTGATTGTGAAGATTACCGTCTCATGTACGGCGCCGTATGGTCTGGTAGGCAGTTCCCACCTTTCAGAGGAACTTAATGCTCCAATTTCAGGTTAAGGTGGAAGTAGCAGGTTCCTCCAAATTTGGCTGAAGATATGAGACGAGTTTGAAAAACGGCGCATAGGGAAGGATGTTATTAAAATGGATTGTAAATAAGTTGGATGTTGTGACCTGTATTCATCTTACTTACTTAGTTATTTATTTGGTTATTCATTAATGAGTTTAGTGATTATAGACATGCGGCTTAACCACTTAACTTTCACAGCTGGCATGGCGACCGCCATGAGCAGCTGAATTGTATGCTTAGTGGAGTACTCTCTAACGGAGAGGAAACTGCTTCCTTGTTCCATATGATGAAGATGTATCAACTGTAGGAGTCATCACTTCTCGGCTTTAGGATACAGTGTGTGCTTGTTACAGGTGGAGTATCGTCCGTGCATGGTTCCAGCCAGCTGCTGGGAACTCATGCGAGAGTTCCTTCAAGGGTTCCTCGGCTCCTCCGTCCAGAGCACTCCTCCACAGTATCTGCAAGTAAGTTCTATGTCTGACTTTTGTTTTGTAATTTCATGCTTACTGCCCGTCCTCAGTTCTTAAAGCAAGTGTCACGTAACTTCGAACAAGGCCAAGAGTAACCTTGAATGCGCAGAAGAAAAATTTCAGGCAAGGCGGTGNGCAGTCTGTATGAAAGATAATTTAAAAATTAAGTGTTAGCATTTAAATGAGAAGTGACAGGTAAGCAAGGAGTCCTTCCTGCTGTGTCAGACGCACATCTCCGTCCAGGCCAGAACCTTCGTCCTTTCCAATAAACTCGGCCTTTCTGTCATTTTGAATGTTTATTCAGCATACAGCCGTGTGTATCTTGTGTTGCCTCGTACAATGTTCCGGCCTTTGCCCATTCTAGTCACTTATTCCATGTCCACTGTAAAGAATAGCCCAAGATCCTGTGTCGCGAGATTCTAAAGGGTTCTGACGGTGGTGTATAGCACCCAAAATTACTGGGTTTTTGGACTTTGTCAGTCGTCTGACTGGAGTCTTTATGGAGAAGCCCTTGCGGGAAACACCCTGAGATTTGCATCCATGAGGAAAGTCATGTGACTGAGGTTTTAGGTAACCGATTTTTCATGGCGTTCTAATGTCTTAAGAAAGGTAAAGCTATACCTGTAACAGGCCGTGAAGGCTCGTAGGGTTGTGAGACGTCAAGGCTCACATATTTTCTCTAGACAATCTTTTATAGCTGGCGGTAAGGTTGTCAGCCTTACTCTTCGGCCGCCCTTTCTCCCCAAGAATATTCCTGGTACTCATTTCTGTTAGAGGGTAAGTCGATCCCGGGGCGATAGTGCGGCTGGAAGGATTAGGTAAATTGGAAAAAGAAAATCCACCTCATCGAAACTCGAACCCCCGCCCTTCCGACTTATAGTATATTGCATCAACTATCTACGCTACCGCGTGCCCCTCTAACTTTCTAAAATATGACGTGTCCGTATCGGCTGTACATATATATTCAGAAGGGCTCGGACGATGGTGTGTAACACTCAGTATTACTAGGTGAACGATGGGCGAAGTCCAGAAGCCCAACAGTTCTGAATCCTGTCTCACATATGTCACAATCTCTATAATACCAAACTTTATAGACTTTTAAGCGTTGAAATGTTCTTGGATCATCCTGCGTAAACTTGCAATGTGGGAAAGTAGTGTAGTCACCTTTTCCTCCTCCTCCCCCACGACCATGTCTCACGGTCACTCACAGTGCTTGTAACAGAAAACTCTGTACGCCTTCAAATTTAAAATCTCCATTAGATCATCCTGTATAATATCGCAGTTTGTGCGCATGCGCCTATCTTACGGTCTCATTTCTCGCCATTTTGAACTAAGGACGCCTCTCATTCAGGAATCGATGAGTGATTTCCCTTGTACGGTAAGCGATGAAACCAACAGCAGGCTGGATTGCGAACAGCCATTAACGTTTGACAGCAGAGTATAGGCTTTCGAATCGATAGGTCGAAGAGCTACAAGTTGCAGATGATTATGTTGGGGACTTTCAGGTGTATTGCTAGCTCTTATTCTTCCAGTGTCAATTCTTAGTTTCTCTGGACCTTAGAACGAATTTAAATAGCCCGATGCCTGAAATCAGTTGAAGATAGAGCCAGTATGTTCCTCCGAAACGTCGGGGAACATTCACATCACTGTGTGACCTTAAACTCCGAAGAGAAACATCGAAAACTGTACCCTCAATTTACATTCTTTCTTTGGAATGAGAGACCAAGTTTCACACCCGTACTAAACAACATACAAACTCAGAATTCTGGTCTTCTGTATTATGGCACCGCGGTTTTCTTTATTTTTTATGCTAGTGGGGTTGGACTAAGTCCGTTCTACTGCGGCCACTTCTGGTCTATTGCACCAGCCCCAGTTGATAGGTGAGGGTGATTATGGAGCAATTTGTGGAATGAAGATTGGCAGGGGAAACCGAAGTACTCGGAGAAAACCTACCCCAACGCCACTTTTTTCCCCTTGGCACTACAGACCCAGTGGGCCTAGGCCTACCTCCATGAACTTCTCCGTTCACTTCGGTTTTTCTAGATCTTACACATACGGTAGGACTCCTTGGGCCTCTACCTGTACACAAACACAGAAAAACGCACACAAACATCCATGCCCTGAATGGGATTCGAACCCACGATCCCGGCTTCCGAGCGAGCGAAGACAGTGCATGCCTTAGACCGCTCGGCTACCGTGACCGGCCCAGCGCCACTTTGTCCACCACAAATCCCACTTGACCAGACCCCAGGATCGAACCCGGGCCGCCGCGGTGGGAAGCCAGCGACTAACCGCTTGAGCTATGGCGCTGCCATGACACCGCGTTAGTCTGATAAGATGTGTCGTAAATGTCTATAAGAGTGCGTCAGCATCAAATTAGTGACGTAGATTGTTACATCATCGTCATGAAGTTACTAGATTCTCTTTTCGGCATATGCTGGGGATATGTCTTGGAACACAGGACTTTCCTTCTTTAACGGTGCCTACTGAAGGCATGATTTTCACAGACATTACATGAATACCAAGAGTAGAAAGACTTCAGTCAGTATAGCGACGACCTACGGGCTGGAGTGCGAATCCCGGCAAGAGCAAGAGATTCTTCTCCACACCTTCCAGACCGGCTCTGGGGCCCACCCAGTCCCTTATCTAATGGGTGCCAGGGGCTCTTTCCCCGTGTGATATAGCAGCCGAGGCGTGACGCTGACCACTCACCATCTAGTACCGAAGTAGAAAATGGTGTAGGTATACCTCCACCCCCCATACGTCTTCATGCCGTGATGCTTAATTAATTAGGCACAGAGACAACACAGAATAATACCAACGTTTCGGAGGGGCATACTGCTTCCGCCTTCAGAGTTCAACTTCGACACTGAAGCTAGAAGCAGGAAGTTCCTTCGAAACGTTGCTACCCAGCCACCGGACTACAATACAAGGTACATTCTCATAACGCAAGAGGCCACAGTAACAATTCTCACCGTGGTGAAGACTTCAGATCTTAGGGCAGGTGAACCGCGTGTGGATATAAGCGTGAAATGTTCGCTTGTGTAGGAGAGGCTGAGTGATGGCTTGTGTCACTTGTCTGTATGATGAGCCTACAAAACGTGAAGTACGCTTAAAATGCCTTCCCCACTTGTCAGAAGCAGACACCTGCGTCGTACCGGCAGTTACATATGTCAGACGGCTCACAATGCGTACAGGATTGGTGGGCACGGAAAGAGAGACGTGGCACATCCATGCATGCGACGCAGATTGTATATTACAAGCTCTGAAACGAGGCAAATTGTAATTTCTTTGATGTACATTATCTCTAAAGCACTGCGGTTACTATAGGGTGTAGGTACCACCTGTTTTAACATTAAGAACTCATCCTTTTGCCCCCACAGTGTGTTTATGTGTTTCTATGCATCTCAATAAATGAAATTATTTCCATCAGCAGTATTAATCGCCTGGTCTTTGCACTGGAGAGATTGTATTTCCTGTCCCGTAGGAACTGAATTTTATATATTCCGTGGCTTGTAGTCCGCAAGCGAACTATACCGACCGAGCGGCCACCGTTTGTCGACGAAGTTAGCGCTAAATTTAGCGGATAGAGGGTGTCGCATGGTCAGCCCAAAGGATCCCCACTGCCATTAATCTCTCTTTTCTAGACCGGAGCTGCTGTTTCCTTGAAAAAGCTCTTCAGTTATCTTCACGAGGCTGAGTGGACCCCGTTCCAGACCCACTACTTCTCAGAAAATCTGGGAGCTCCGGGAATCGAACCCGAGACCTTTGGATTTGTAGCCGGGAACCCTGACTGCTAGACCACAGAGGCGGTCCAATTTTATATACTATTCAGAAGAAATGAATACTACAGACGATTAACAGTTATTATAATGGAAGTCAATTCAGCGTAATCTGTGAAGATATTGTTTTTTCATTGAATTAACGGCCTTTTTACTACATACGTCATATGCCTGCGTGTTAGTTCGAATGAATAGCTTCGTCTTGTCTAAAAATGTCGTCGAATAGAATTTTTGTCTGATTGGTTAGCTGGGTCAACATTTATTAACCCCTGACAAGGCCGCGCCATGGCTCAAGCGGTTAGTCGCTGGCTTCCCATCGCGGCTGCCCGGGTTCGATCCCGGGTCTGGTCAAGTGGGATTTGTGGTGGACAGAGTGGCGCTGGGGCAAGTTTTCTCCGAGTACTTCGGTTTCCCCTGCCAATCTTCATTCCACCAATTGCTCCACAATCACCCTCACCTATCATCTGGGGCTGGTACAATAGGCCAGAAGTGGCCGCAGTACAGGGACTTAGTCCCACCCCACTAACCGGCAGCGAAATGCCAAGCGGGTTGGCGTAGCGGTTACTGTCTAAATTCTTATTCGGGAGAGAATCCGAACTAGGGCACCCGCTATCCTGCCAGAAGGGTTTCGTGATTTTCCTCTGTCCCTCCAGGAAAATGCTGGAATAGGCCTGAGCCGCTTCCTTCCCAACCCTTCCCAGTTCATATGTGGACGCTGTGAGTACCTTAGCCGAAACGCGTTAGAGTTGGGAACTACTTTCGAGCTCCGTGTAGTCACTAAACAGAATGCTATACTGTAGCTCTATGGAAAATTTCCTCTTCCCAACTCTGGAACAAACCTTTTGTGTTACAAACACACAGAATTGTGCTGAAGAACAGTGCCTTCTTGTGTTGTAATTCCTAGAATTAGGACCCTATTGTAACTGCTTGTTCGAGGCGCTGTGTTGACCTTACACAGCCGTTGCTTGGAATCATAATGCCATGCCCTTACATAGAAATACACAGCAGTTTCTTATGCTGCACTTTGGGGAGGGGGGTGCTTGAAACGAGTTGCCATCTTTAAGCAGAAGGCTTGAATACTACAAGTTCAGTGGCGGCCAGTATGAACCGAAACAGTCGGATTGATATGCTTATTTATTGTTTATTTAATGCCGCAGTTAATAACGGGAAATATGTATCATCGAATGGTAGGATTAGTAGTGAATAATAAATTGCGAAAGGTTTGGAAGGAAATGATTATAGCCAAGATCTAGGTATTTCAAAACACGTAAAAGTCTTAAAAGGACAGATATATGGTCATGGGTCCCGACGAGGTCCGAAGCGAAGAAAACCTGTGCTGTCGAGGACCAGCAGCAATTTTCTTCACTTGCGTCAATTATTGTCTGCTCCCAAGATGGGGGCACCATAGTCCTCGAAACTACACGGCATCACACCCGAGAAGTCCGTAATGCAGTACGTAGGTGCTTTTCTTTTCAAGGTCCAATCGTTTCATTGTTACTAAGCAACAATAATCCATTCAAGGTTCAGCTGTTTCATTGTGGTAAGCAACAAATGCTTTAAGGTTCAGCCGTTTTTTAGTGTTTATGAGCCACAGTAACAATGTCTCACTTGAAACCTGTGCTGTCGAGGACCAGCAGCAATTTTCTTCACTTGCGTCAATTATTGTCTGCTCCCAAGATGGGGGCACCATAGTCCTCGAAACTACACGGCATCACGCCCGAGAAGTCCGTAATGAAGTACGTGGGTGCTCTCTTTTCAAGGTCCGATCGTTTCATTGTTGCTAAGCAACAAATGCGTTTAAGGTTCAGCCGTTTTTTAGCGTTTATAAGCTACAGTAACAATGTCTCACTTGAAATACATTCTTAAACTTTTAGAACTTAATTTTCTGACCATAATACGTGTTAAAATGTAGAAATGATGTTTAACCTAACGTTGAACGTGACACGGTGTGTAGCAATGTTAACAAGAAATGTAAACGTGTAATGCGGTGTGTGAAAGCTCTATGAGGTGTAAGAATGTCTGATCCGACTGATAGAGCTCTGATAAACCGCAGAAGAAATGCTACTGAACCATTAGCGGAGAAATCAAATATAGACTGCAATTAGAGTCTCCGACGACGACGAGGAATGGAAAGGGAGAGAAACTTTTAAGATGTGCAAAAGCGGCGCATGCGCATACAAAGTGCTGAGACTCACTTTGCGTTGCGTCACGCCACTTCAGAAACTCTGCAACGAAAGTTCATGAGTAAATTAAATTTTCAGATGTAAGTATTGCCAACAGAGGACACCGAAATTCCGCTATAGTTTCAACGCGTAAACCATTTTGTCTGATTAAGATGAAACTTGGGGAAGTCAGTCTACACCAAAAGTTTACTAGAAAATTAAATTGTGAGCAGCGCCGCACTTCTTGTTGTCAACACGCGGTGATTAATTACTGTTTTCTTCGGTACACCAATTTGATCACGTAATTCGCGTATCGGTTTTGAAATGTCTCGATAAGATGCCTCTTTGTCTTCCTCATATAGTGCCTCCCATATCTTTATTTCTTCCTTTTTGAGAAGAATTTCGCTTGTTTTTAACCTATTTCCAAGGAAACCGCAATTCTTCCATGTCTTCCTGACTAATCGCCTGTCGACAGAAGTGTTCCTTCCTTTCCTCTTTGGTTGTTTCTTTATAGCCTCTTCTGTAAACCTGCACTCATTTCTTTCCCTGTTTCTTTGCAGTAAATATATTTCCACATTGGTTGTAAGGAAGAAACGCTTTGCTGCAGCTCCCATGCCTTCCTCTTGAGGGGCAGTATATTGCTTGTATTGCTAGCCATACTTGTTCCCCCCTCTCCTGTACACTGTACAGACGAGCAACACGCCATGTCCTCACACGAGCTGCAAAGTGCATTGATGTTTACGGTGCAGTTTTCGAAACTGTATTATACTAGGTAAATTGTACCAACGTTTTCACTTGAACAGTAAATACCGGCATTAGAAACAGTACGTAATGTCTCTTTCTTATCAACAGTTTTTTTAATTATACGGTGAAATAGATGTATCTCGGAAACTTTTCGGGGTAGGCACTTGTACATATACACTTTTTTGCTTAGCATGGCCGATACTATGACCTCACAGAATATTTACCTTTCCTCCTGGGACATCCTGCCTAAGTACTGATTTCCTCGTTGTGTATTTCTGTTTGTTTCCCTTACCAACGGGTTGATCTGTTGCTATGGTTACCTGTGCTGCAAGGACATGTGTTCACACTCTCTTACATTGTACCAGTTATTTTTGTTACATAAATGGAGTTGATATCGTTTACAGAACCGCATGAACGAGATGTATCAGCCCATTGACACCATCCATCAGTATCTGGAGCAGTTCGGCGCCTACAGGAAGGCCACCGGCGTGCGGTAGTCCGTCGTGCATCACGTGACACCTTCCTCTGTCCCTCCTCCCAGTTACATGAATTGTTTGCATTCCTCTGCCTCGTCCATGAGACAGCCAGTAGTCGCCAGGAACTCGGTGTCCTCTCAGTATTCTTCCATTGTTATCTATGTCGTTCCACTTCCCGTCGCTCTACCTTGTTCACTTCTCCACGCTTTACCTTGTCTCCAACCGATCTTCACCAGGAAGACAACCGAGCGCTTGCTGTAAGCATGTTTCTGCCCCCCCCCCAAGTGCCGTGTCACTGCTCCGTCTCCCCTTTCTCTTCTCACACATTTTCCTTCAGAGTCATAGTTTCAGATGAGAACTCGTGTGTTATGTCACCATGTCAGTATTTATGGTGTGGTTGATGTGAGGACTTCCACATTGTTTCGCATCTTGATGATTCTTATTGACAGTATTCGTAGAAATTACAGAATTTCACACAAAAAATGGAGAGTTTTACTTTCTGAAGACCCCAGCCCTGACCTGAGGGTGGAAGTGAGCCGAGTTGTGGAAAGTAGCAGGGAGATAAGAAAAGCATTCCGGACGGGAGGATTTCCCAATCAAAATTTGGATTGAGGTCCTGCTGCATTTCCCAACTTCACTCACTTCTACCCTGATGATGGAAGCAACTACTTCCTCTCATAATCAAACATGCCAGAATTTGAATCTTCGCCCCAGAATCTTAAAACTTCCTTACGATTCGTTTGCACTACCGTCCAGTTTCACATTTCTTGCAAGTGTCTGATGATTTAGCGTGGACTGTACCACCTGTTATATGTATGTTGAAATATGGCGGGCTACTTCTTCGATTAGATACATGACGTTTTATGGAGGTCCTTGGAAAGCAGCCAGTGCACCGACAGGGAGAGGCCTGCCTCCAAATAAAGAGAACTACAGCAGGTGTCGAGGAGTTGCACTTGTCAGAACACTTTACAGCACAGTGGTCCAGCACTTTCCGCATGGAGTGTATGTACCGGCTCCTACACACGATTCTGAGAATAGATGAGGATTATTTCCCTACGAATTTTTGTCTTTGCAATGCAGACGCAGTGTGTTTTCTGTGAGATTAGAATTAATTTTTTTGAATGCTAAACAGATGAACTTCAGTCATGGAAAGGTTAAAACACTAAACATCAAAACCTCTTGGTTTAAGCACAGATTTTAACACGTGTGGGTCTCGGAACCAAGAACCTCTGTACTGGCGAGGGCCATCCAGCTGCTGTGTTGGGGGATGTGACGTCGTGCAGTCTAGTTTCCCAAAGCTTCGGATGAACGTATTCCTTCAGCGGATATTAGAGCCAGTTTATTTTATTTGTGGTTTATATAAGAACGCCGTCAGTAAGTCAGAACTTACGGCGTCGTATTGTGTGATGACTAGTGATTAATGAATTGGAAAGGATGTGGAAGGAAACGGCAGTGACCTCTAAATGTGACTCGCTTTGGACATTGTCCGTCGTTCGACTTAAGTCATAAATCCAGACAGTCCGTGAAAGTAGTTAAGTCAGCGAATCACGGGCGGTTTTCATGAGTAATGTTGATAATGTCATAAGTAATAAGGTTTAATTTGTCATTAAGATTTATTGCAATCTTAGAATTTATTTGTTTTCTTTGAATACAGTAGAGTCTGTAGATATACTCCATGTCCTTTGACACGTCAAAGGCAATCCCATACATTTTTTGGAACATATCGAACATCATGGAGCTGTGTCGTTCTTGTGACAGTAATAGAATATCAGCTATACAAGAGAATCACAGCGTTTTAGGAAACCGAGTGGTTCAGTATCGCGTTCACAAAATCCCGCCACTGGTCGCTATCCGCAGGCACACTAATCCAGCCCACAACCCCACGCCCTCTTCCTTTAGGATCCTTTCTTTATGTATCAGTGTATCAGAATATTATTTCCATCCGAATAGCTCCGTGGCAAATTATGCGCTTTCAGATGTGATCATGCCGTCTTCTCCTGCCCCGCCCCGCCCCTACTCCTCGAAGGGCAGTCTGTTGTTGGGTTTGTGCCGCGACAGTTCGCGCCATAAGTGACGGCACGCATAGTCAGAAACAGTCACTAACATAAGTCCATTTGTTGGAACGCTGCGCAGAGAGGCGAAGCAGGTCAGTCTGCTGCCTGGCTCTCTGCAGAGAAAGACGTCTGGGAACGCCCAGAGCTTCCCCTAGCCTTCTCTCTTGCTCGGCAATATGCCATCCATCACTTGTGGCGCGGAGCAGCTGTATGTCTGCAGGAGAAGAGGCTCTCTTGTGCGCTGTGTTAGTGGGGAAGAAGATTCTTCAGCACCTCTTCATCTTCAACTTCATGTGGCAGTGTGACGCGCAGTAACGCAACTTCCTTCATGGCTATCTTCGTGGCCAGGAGCGCCTTCTTGTTCCCCGACCAGCACCTGAAACAGTTTCAAGGATGCATTTGCCGTCAGAACTGCTAAGAGACGAAATACGTCGTACCGTGCTACCAGTGTTGTTTGAATTTTATTTAGACATGCTTTGCATTGGGGCACGCAGTAGCGTAGCTGGTTGAGGCACTATGCTACAAGCCGGGAGGTTGCGGTTTCGATTCCCGATGAGGTAACTGGATATTTCAATTGACCTAACCCTTCCAGCCGCGCTATGGCCCTGGAGTCGACACAGCCTCTAACAGAAATAAGTACCACAATCTTCCAGGGGGTAAAGGGCGGCCGGTGCGTAAGGCTGACGAACTCACCGCCATGTGTGAGCCGATTGCCTAGAAAATGTGGGAGTCTCGACGTCTCAGAACCCTATGGACCTCCACGGCCTGTTGCAGGGATAGCTTTACCTTTCTTTTTTCCTTTACTTTGCATTATACTTGAGTATGAATATGAGGGGTGACCCATAAAACTGGCCCTCGCACTGCGACCTTCAATGATCTATTGTGCTATTGCATTTCACTTTCTTCACAGTATAGGAATAACCAGCGAATTCCATGGAGTAGCAGAACAGGCTGTTATAGGGGAAACGCTATAGACCAGAAGCGCTCTGTTCGAATCTCGGCTGGGACGCCGACTGTCCTGGCTGAAGTTCTTCATTGTTTTCCTCAGTCCCTTCAAGTAAATTCCGGTATAGTATCTCAATTAGCCCGTGACTGCTTCCTTCCAAATCCTTTCCAGTTCATCGATTCATTCGACGGTATATTGTCAGCGATAACTGAAACAGTCGTAAAATAACCCGTTTCCAGAGGCCGATCCTTTCTGAGAAGCAGCTTGTCTCTAAGCTGGTCAAGAAATTGCGCGCATTTTATGGCCCATTACAGTTTTCACAAGAGCCGCCACTGACTTCTGTTCTGCGCCAGATGAAACATTAATAGAGCACTGAACGGAATTAGAATCCGTTTTATACTATCTTGTCATTATTTTAATTAAACACAATTTAAACGATAAAACACCCTCAGGGGTACAGTTTGCGGGTAACCTCCAAGGATCTGCCCTCTCTGGATTTTTGGTAAAATCGGAGTTGAAAGAAAAGAAGGTAATATTTCAGATATTACTATAAAAATCGGAGGTATTTTTAAAAATTATTTCTATTCCAAGTTCTCGAGGACGGTCCTTCAAAATATTCAAGTCTGTTGGCAATGCTCTGGTTGCCTGTCGTGACTTTGCTAGTGTAGCTACATTTCGGTAGCCGATCCTGAATGGTGTCTCAGGAATGTTAACAGATGTACTGACCTTCTGGCCACGCCGTTGCTGACGTCCCAGCTGAGCATGAGGGCGGCTTTCTGGGCAGCCGCCTCCGTGCCGTCCAGAACCAGGCCAAAACCCCCGTTCACAACCTCGCCCCTGAAAAATGACACCAACAGTACACTACCCCTCGCTAGGTTGCCATGAGGACATCAGCTTCTTGCCTGTGCTGATGATGTTTATTTATTGGGAGGAAATACCACAAACCACAGGAACTCTGTTTGGCGAAAGTGGGAGGGCGATCTACAAGTAAGCACAGAAATAATTAAGTGCATGTCGTGTCTCGGCACTATAAAGGAGAACAAAAGTCACAGTATTAAAAAAGGTAACAAAAATGAGTACCAGGAATCTTCCGGAGGGTAAAGGGCGGCCGGCGCGTAAGGCTGACAACCTCACCGCCATCGGTGAGCCGATTGTCTAGAAAATGTGGAAGCCTCGACGCCTCACAACCCTTTGGGCCTTCATGGCCAGTTACAGGGATAGCTCTGTCTTTATCTTATTGCTTTTGTAACACCCTGTCACCACGAGAGTGGCAAAACGCAGCTGGTCAAGCTAGCAAATGCAAATGGCTTTACAACTGACAGTCGGACAGTCCAACTTGGTGTCGAGACCCATGGCCATATGTCAAGTCCTTGTGTTATGGTGACAGTGGTCCTGGAGTTTCCCTTTTGACGAGAGGACGGGGCCAACCTACCAGCCTACTCCGCCACCGTTGTGAAGCGCCACCCAGGTGGCGCCTCTGAAAGAGTCTCCAATGCAGTTCTGTACCGCCATATCTGGAACAGAGAATTCGCTGTTATTCGTGTCGCCGTGACCCGTATCTGGATGTCTCTGCAAAATTTCGTACCTTATTCTTGTTTCATACGCAGCGCGCTATAATCCATTTTGTTTAGTAGCACTAGATTTCAAAATAAGCCATGAAGTCCGTCGTTAGTTCATAATTTCGGAGATACCGGGCTCGAACCTCAGCCCCGAGACCTGCTATCGTGATTGGAATGTTCGTCGTTTTACTTAGTGCTCCACCAAAATTCCGGGACGCTACCTCGAATTAAGAGACGACCATTTCTTTCTACGTCCTAGCCAAATAATTATTCGCCAGTCGCCTTTCGGCACTATATAGTCTCAGTTACTTACAGTGGGGGCACGCGGCAGCGTAGCTAGTTGAGGCTCTATGCTAGAAACCGGGAGATCGCGGGTTCGATTCCCCGATGAGGTCATTGGATTTTTCAGATGACCTAATTCTTCCAGCCGCACTATAATCCTGGGGTCGACTCGGCCTCTAACAGAAATGAGTACCAGGAATCTTCCTGGGGAGTAAAAGGCGGCCGGCGCGTAAGGCTGACAGCCTCACTGCCATCTGTGAGCCGATTGCCTAGAAAATGTGGGAGCCTCGACGTCTCAACACTATGGGGCTCCACGGCCTGTTAACAGGGATATCTTTTACTATTGACAGTGTCGTTAAATAAACCATACATAAGCAAGAAATCGTCTTTTAGCCGTATCTGACACTGAATCAGTTTGCGCTCGGTGTAACATTATTAATTTTGGGTGGGACTAAGTCCGTTGTACTGCGGCCACTTCTGGCCTATTGTACCAGCCCCAGATGATAGGTGAGGGTGATTGTGGAGCAACTGGTGGAATGAAGATTGGCAGGGGAAACCGAAGTACTCGAAGAAAACCTGCCCCCACTTTGTCCACCACAAATTCCACTTGATCGAACCCGGACCGCCGCGGTGGGAAGCCAGCGACTAACCGCTTGAGCTATGGCGCGGCCATAACATTAACAAACAGCCCACAATCGAGCCAACCATATCCCCCCCAAATTCAGCCCTGCTTCCCATTCTAGTGTCTTTTTTGTGGGATCCTCTGCAGTCAGATTATAATCTGACACTTCTAATTAGAAGTGTTTTGAAATCCTTCGGAACCCTCACCTGCCGTGAAGGCAGATCCGTCAGTGATGTTGGATGTTTCCCTGTAAGGGCTGTCTGCCCCACTCACATCATGATGGTCTCGGCTGATGACAACTGGAGCCTGAGAGCAAAAATATACCACAACAAAGTCTCACAAATGCATTCTTTTCTTTAAAAAAGAAAGCACCATCTTACCTCTGCACAAAATAAATACAGTAGTGACCCTTCTGTTGACCGTTAAAACTGGATGCTAAGTTTCTGTACCACTTGCTGTGACATTGAGAGCTCTGTATTTTGTTGTTTTGAATGGTTCTCACAATAAACGGCGACTAGATTCATAAACTGCACTAACCGGGTGGTCTCTGTAATGACGGCGATTGTGTTCCCTCTACGGTAGGAACTGAAACTTTATATAAACTAGTGATTCAGAAGTCTTGGCCAAATTCACAGAGCAACATAAACGGAACTTCCAAGTTTTTCAGTCCTTTTAATTACGTGTATTTAAGACAAAATTAAATTGTGGTGCCGTTTGATTGATTTATTTAAATTTGGTACGGATGTCAGCAAGGCTACCTTACATTTCTAATGTATTCTTATGTATAGGGTAGACTACAGACGGGATTTGGGTTGGTGGATGGATTTATTGACCAGTTATACACACAATTCGGAACTACAAGCAATTACAGCAACACTGTTAGTCTTGGCAATTCACAAATTACCGTAGCATCCGCTAAGCCTTTTCCAGCCTTCTGTGTTTTCACCAGCCGTTCCCTGGAAACGGCTTCTAACAGTGAAGATTCTTCAGGTTCACGCACTTACGTCCTCTTTTCATAGCCTCCCGTGCAGAACTGACTTGGTCGTCCCAATTGTCTTCAAGATAGCTCCTAGGCACAGACCAAGTAGAAACACCCCGTTTCCAACAGTACCTCTATTGTTGCGCTTCGATTCGTTTCTGCGGGAACGTGTTTACCGAGCCGTTGCCTAGCGAAGGCTCTGGTACATTTGCTTATCTCGCGGTCGTCGCACAGTAACGGCTGTACACGCTACAGTATCATTGCCAACATGTTGACCTACGAACTGTGGTGTGACAATTAAGGTAGTGGTTTGCAGTTGGTCTTAAGAGGCTCTCAGCCTCTCTTAGTACGTAACTTTGAATGAGGCGATGAGGTGAATAATGACATAGAAAGGATTCAGAAGGAAACGGCCTTGGTCTTATCGAGTTACTACTCAGATATTTGCCCGGAGAGACTGAATAAACAGCGAGGCATCTCAGGATATCGGTGTCCCCGCCGAGTTTCGAACAGAGCACTTCCCGATTACAGGCCAACCGTTACCGCTAGACCAACCTGCTCGTTGCGCCGTAAGTAATGAATTATTGCAACTGGGCGTGCGATTTTTGGTGTCGAGGTTTATCGTAAATCTAACTACAAATGTAAGCATTAAAAAATTGCAGACATGGAAACCGTGGAGACGTTTGAGGTAATGTCTTCGCTTTACGAAGATTCGCATTATGAATGTTCACTCATGCGAACTTCTGCAGTGAAGCGCATTCCCTCGGGTTTGATCGTCTTCCGGACAAAAACGAACGTGTAAGAACGAAAACGAAAACAGACGAACGCAACGTCGATCAGCCGGTTCGCCTTACACTCGGTTTTGGTGTGCATCATTTATAGAATTCTGCTGTTTTTTACATTGTTTAACTTATTCTGTGGCATGCAGTGGTTATAGCACGATAGGTTTCCGATTACTAGATCAACAAAATTGCTGAGTCCTCTTTTTCTTCGGTCGCCTTTAGGTCGTTCGGGAACGCGGCTCCCAGTTACAAGATTCCACCTATGTGAAACAGCGATTCACAATACGAACGCCCTTCAGGACCGAAACTATGGGCGAGGACTGCATATATCTACTTTGTGTAGTTAATTGTGAATGGAAGCATTTGAAAAAGAATATGGACTACGTAACTTCATTCCAGCACTTTTATTTTATTGTTAGTGGGGTGGGACTAAGTCCCTTGTACTGCCGCCACTTCTGGGCTATTGTACCAGCCCCAGATGGTAGGTGAAGGTGATTGTGGAGCAATTGGTGGAATGAAGATTGGCAGGGGAAACCGAAGTACCCGGAGAAAACCTACCCCAGCGCCACTTTGTCCACCACAAATCTCACTTGACCAGACCCGGGATGGAACCCGGGCCGCCGCGGTGGGAATCCAGCGACTAACCACTTGAGCTATGGCGCATTCCACGATAGCAGTATATTCTATTCTACTGTTTCTTTTGGGCAGGTTTATTTAATTTTCAGCACGTTTTAATATTTACATGATGCCATATCTGTGTTGTTCAAATAGTAAGTTAAGTACAGGTATTGTTAGTAGTTACTATAGGATTCTGACGATGGTGTATAACACACTGATATATTGGGTTTTTGAACTTTATCCATCGTCCTGGTTTTTAAGATAACTAATAAAAACACTGGACCAGTGATTGAGGCTAGCTCTTTCTAACGGACCCAACAGAATAGGTGTTTTCCTTCACCTGAGGACGGAAACAGATCCAGTTTCCGAAACGTCGTGTTTTTATTAGTTATCTTAAAAACCAGGACGATGGATAAAGTCCAAAAACCCAATATATCAGTGTACAGGTATTGTTGTTATAAAAATTTCGATGGCATTTCTTTCATGTCGAGACTTTTAAAATTTGCTAAAAAAGCAATTAGTATGAGAGACCACATGATATGCTTCTCCCTATTATTATAACGTTCCATTTCATGACCCAAACTTCCTGTAGATTGTAGCCATCTAACAAAAAAATTGAAGCATAAGAAGTCCCTGCAGTAGAAGACATTACGTCCGAGGAGCCTGTGTACCATTGAATGAATTGAAGTCGTTCTAAGAGCAATGCAAGCTCGTACTCAAGCTTTACGAATGATAATGCTCTACTGGAAATGGTCCATATCTCAGAAAGATTCTGTGGTCGTGACGTGTTCAGTGCTGCGTAATTATGTTCACTTCTGCTGCATTTCTGAAAGCGTTCATTAATGACGTCTGCGAGAATTGCTCAGCCGTCCACGAGCGCTGGAGTGTGCGATTTGCTGAAACATGCATAACTCTAAGAATGGAGTGCGCCAATTAATTCGCTCTATTCAATGATTCGCCCAATCATTAATTAATTCATTCCCCCATGCATTAATCTATTCACCAAATTTACGTTGTTTTCTTCTGCTTGAAGATGGAGGCAGCTTGCTCCTCCGAAACGTTCGTAACACTGAATCGAACTATAGAGTGACATGGATGAGGTTAGCGTCGACTTATTCGGGAGGTGCTCAATTCGAATCTACTCTCGACATCGGCGGTACTGATAGTCTTTTCATGGTTTTCCTCCGTCCCTCCAGATAAATGCCAGTGTAAATACTCCGATTAAGCCATGACTGTTTCCTAATCATTTTCAGTTCAGTGATCCTGTAGGCTATATGCTGGCAGCGTCAGGAAGTAAAGCACGGTTCCGTAACCAGAAGATCACAGTATTCTAAGGTTTCACCGCTGTGGAGACCTGAGGCGCGGTACAACCTCCTCACCAGTTCATTCTCTTGCTCACTTATTCTTCTAGACTTGTAACATATTGAGAGCGCAGAAAATTGAGCTCTCCTTTTTATGACTGTTGGACACCCAGCTTCCACCCCCCCCCCTTAATGACTTCAGCAATTTCCGACATCTCTTTCCATGGGAGCAACTTAGTTTCAGCAGCAGCAGGAATTATTCTGCGAGAACTTCCGCTATTGTTTGTAACTTGTTAGCAAAGCGTGGATTCTGCTCTACAGGCTGTTTACAAAACAGAATCAAGAATTTACGTGCAATGGTTCATGTTTGCAGCGGGTTCTCAACCACTCACAGAGCTATCTCCACATGTTGAAATATTTAAGGCTTCAAAGTGTTCACTTGCTTTCCTTATCCCCAGAATGCGGCCCTGTCATTTACAAATTAGTCCCTCGTTATCGCTTCTAATTACAAATGAAATTGCTCGTAACGATGCGTGCCCTCAGAAGGGGGCACAGTGGAAACGAGCCGTTTCCTTCCAAGAACATTCACTGTGATATGTTCTGGGTAATGAACCAAGCTGGCTCTACTGTGGCATGTCTCCTGAAAGACAAAATTATGAAACAAGCAGAGACAGACGTTACTAGAGAACGGCTCTGCAAACACGCCAGTTGCTAGGCACCGGCCCGATATCCGTCACGTGATCGCCGCGACACACACGCAATAATGGTAGCGGAATTTTCAGTGCGATCAGTGCCGAGGCTATATAACGAGGACGAGCTCTTACGTAAAGACCATTACCGCAGGGATTCACTTGGAAAAGAAAATTCTGGTCATCGGTCTCAGGGGCTTGACGCCAAGACGAACTGATTGGCGGTAAATCGTCAGACGTAAAGTAACTCTGACTTTGACTTTGATTTACGAGAGAGTCCTGAGACGGCAGTTAGAAGAATAGGAGGTTGGTGTGAGATAGCCGCCAGCCAGCGAGGACGTGAGCCCGGAAGCAAAGGAACGTCCACTGTTGGAAGACGTCAGCAAGCAGAGCAGTGAGGACCGCAACTGAAAACGCTAGTCTTTATATGGTACTGACCTATGAAATGTAGTCACGAGTTGTGTGTGTATTATTTTTATATTGCTAGTGGGGTGGGACTAAGTTCCTTGTACTGCGGCCACTTCTGGCCTATTGTACCAGCCCCAGATGATAGGTGAGGGTGATTGTGGAGCAATTGGTGGAATGAAGATTGGCAGGGGAAACCGAAGTACTCGGAGAAAACCTGCCCGAGCGCCAAATTGTCCACCACAAATTCCACTTGACCAGACCTGGGATCGAACCCGGGCCGCCGCGGTGGGAAGCCAGCGACTAACCGCTTGAGCTATGGCGCGGCCTGTGTATGTATTAAGTGACTAATAAATCCGATTACCAATCCAAACCGCATCACGTATCTGTCGGGTCGCTGGAGACAGCTGTTCTCTGTTTCTACGGAGAAGTTAACATTTTTGAGCGCCTGTAAGAAGCTGAGCCCCGCTAATGGCGTTTGACTGCGACACAGTGCAGAACTGGAGTGCAAACAATGGCTTGGCTTCTGGAACTCTGCAACTGTACGCAGTGCGGATGAGAGTGGCGTATGTCTGAGGCTGCGACATTATCGGATATAGACATACACGTCACGTCACTCGAGAATCACTAGATTGATTATTTAATGACGCCGTTAGTACTGAGATTGTAGCTTTGACGATATAATGATTTACGAGTGAGAAGCTGCTGGTGGAACTTCTGGCAAGGGAGACCGAAGTACTCGGGGAACAAGCGCCCCTATGCAGATTTATCCTCCATAAACGTCACATTACCTGAGCTGGGATCTGACAGTAATAGAATGTGAATGCGTGGACTTGGTTCAGCTGCCAGAGGATGGTTCTTCGAGTACCATACAAACATGGAACTTCTTGACAAGCTGAGCCAACTTTTCAAAAAAAGAAAGTTCTGCGCCATGAAGCCAGTATTATTACCTGCAATGTTCCGTCCCTCACGGAGGAGTTGAAGGCCAGAGCGAGGCGGGTCCTGCCCACTCTGTCGGAGTAGAGGATCCGCGCTTGGGAACCCACCACAAGATGGTGCTGACCGGCCTCTCTGATCCACCGCAAGTTGTCCAGATACTGCGCCTCCACCACAGGGGGCACTCCCTCTATACCCAAAAACCCCTACCCATTAGTAAATTCACCACAAGTGCACATTTTTAATTCCTTCCTTAGCGACGCTCTCAGCATCGAGGCCATATAGCGTCGATTATAGGAAGGTTAATGAATATGGATCAGTTACTACAACAAGAATTGGCAGGGGAAACCGAAGTATTCGGAAGTAACCTGCTCCGCTGCCACTTTGTTCCCCACAAATCCCACATGCTGCGACCTGGGTCGATCCCGGGTCACTGCAATGGGAAGACGGCGACTGACCGCTTCAGCTATGACACGGCCCTCGACAGTAATACTTAAGTGGTGAAGTGAGATTTCTGTTTAATTCAGGTTCAGTTTGCAACCTCACGTACCAGCAAGTATGTCCTCCATGATACGAACAGCAAGTTGATCCGTCACGTGTAAGTCGTCGGGGCTTCCCGAAGTGCAGACCCAGCGGAACGGGCCGAACCCGAGCGAGAATATGTCCCTGAGAACACACACGTACATGAAGACGAGGGCGTCCTGAGAGGTGACACATTGTTACGGACATCATGGATGTACTCACCCCATGATATCCTGTACGTAAGATGGGTACCGGAAGTTGAGACCCGTGGCATCTCCTTGCACCCCTACGTCCGCCCCCGCGCGCCGTGCCTCCAATAGAAACGCGTTGCCGTAGTCCCAGAAGAACATACCGCTCTCGGCTAGCTTGTTGATGGCGGCAACCTGCCGCACAAGGCTGGCCTGCACCAGACTCCTGAAGCGATCCGGCTCCATGGCCAGCACCTTCACAACATGGTGCGCAAATGCTATAGTTCCCCTACGCCTAAGCACCAGAACAAACATTGAAAGTCCCTCCTAGGAATATATGAATACCTCGTACAGAATGACCCAACACCTCAATTAAGTGGACAGTATTACCGGATCTGTAGGTTCCGGGTTCGAATTCTAGTCGGAAGACAGATTTTCTTGTTTTCTTCAGTTCCTCCTGGAAAATGCCGGAATGGTAGTCTTACCTAAAATTAATTCACTATCACTACCGTCCATGTTTTTTTTCCTTGGCACTACAGCCCCAGTGGGCCTAGGCCTACTTCCATGAACTTCTCCGTTCACTTCGGTTTTTCTAGATCTTACACATTCGGTAGGACTCCTTGGGCGAGTGATCAGCTCGTCGCAAGGCCTCTACCTGTACACAAACACAGAAAAGCGCACACACACAAACTAAACATCCATGCCCTGAGTGGGATTCGAACCCACGATCCCGGTTTCCAAGCGAGCGAAGACAGTACATGCCTTAGACCGCTCGGCTACCGTGACCGGCTTCCATGTTTTTACCAATCACTAATCTTTCGACATTGTAGGAACATGACGGCAATTTCGGTCGCGTGTCATGTGAAGTTCCGAAGCAGCAGTACGCAAACCAAAGGATCAGGATATGGACCTGTGGCGGGATTTTGTGAGCACTGTTATGATCCTTCGGATTCCGTAAATGTATTTCGGGCAATGCTTGCTACCATTGAGTCTAGAACCTTCTGTCTTCTCGTCTGCTGCGTAAAAATTAGAATATACAGAACTATAATTTTGCCTGTGGTTCTGTATGGGTGTGAAACTTGGTCTCTGACATTAAGGGAGGAACATAGACTGAGGGTGTTTGAGATCAGGGTGTTGAGGAGAATATTTAGACCGGAGAGCGATGAAGTGAGAGGAGGTTGGAGAAAACTGCACAATGAGGAGCTTCATAACTTGTACTCTTCTCCAAGTATAATTAGAATGATCAAGTGAAGGAGGATGAGGTGGGCAGGTCATATAGCACGAATGGGGGAGACGAATGCGTATATGATATTGGTGGGAAAGCCAGAAGGAAAGAGTCCACAGGGAAGACCAAGGCGTAGGTGGGTGGACAATATTAGAATGGATCTTAGGAACGATAGGATGAGATGGTATGGATTGGATAGATCTCCCTTAGGATAGGGACCAGTGGAGGGCTCTTGTGAACACGGTAATGAACCTTCGGGTTCAATAATATGCTGGGAAGTTCTTGAGTAGCAGCACAACTGGCGGCCCGTGTGCCAGTGCTCAATGCAAACGTCACCCTTGCCTATGTTTACCTACATGCGATTGGAATGACTTTTTACTCTTCTGCGATGTGACACCATGTTCTCTTTTAGTTCACCGATGTTTCGGGAGAATATGTTGCCTCCATCATCACGGTCGAAGGATAAGCCAAGCACCCACCAAGAGGTAAAGAGATCGAGCTGCATGTGAAAAACCCGGCTGGTTACTTGTTCTGTTTATTCTTCGATCCTGAAGATGGAGGCAGTACGTTCCTCCGAAACGTCGATGAATTTCTACCGGACTTGACGGCGTCACGTCCTAGTGACCGCTGTGAGAACCTCAAACCCAGCGACGTCTGTAAGGCACTGTACCTCTTGCGCTTCCACGTACTCCAGTTGAACGGGGTAGTATCCCCCGTTGTAAGGGTTGTGGCACGAAGTCTGGTCCGAACCCAGGTCTACCAGGAGTTCTCCAGTCTTCTCCTTCTCCTCCACCAGACGTTCCCACAGGCTCACAACGTTGCCATGGTAACCTATACTGACCGCCTGTAAGAAAGAATTTAAATTAAGCTTTTTTTTTTAAATTCGTTTAGTGGGGGATGGAGTCCAGCTGGGTCCACTCGGCACGGCGGCTACTGATTGGCCTATTGTACCTGCCCCGTGTGATTATGATGATGGAGAATTTGGTGGAATGAAGATTGGCAGGGGAAACCGAAGTACTCGGAGAAAACTCGCCCCAGTACCACTTTATCCACCACAAATCCCACTTGACCAGACCCGGGATCGAACCCAGGCCGCCGCGGTGGGAAGCCAGCGACTAACCGCTTGAGATGTGGCGCGGTCTGAATGAAGCTTAGTGCATGCAACTATCAAATGTTTATCATGTTACAGCTGCAGTTTCGATTGCTTTGTATTCGGTCCGGCTCTCCGTTCTCCTCTCTTGGTATTCGTGTTTTTCCTCAGTCTCTGCAATAGAATGAAGGGGTAGCATGTAGCATCTCTACTTGGGCCACGAACTTTCCACAGCCTCTCCAATTCAATCCTAACTAGTAATTAAATCCTCACTAATAATTCAGTCGCTAATAATTCAACCCTCACTAGTAATTCAGTCGTCACTAATGATTCAATCCTCATTAGTAATTCAGTCGCTTACAATTCAACCCTCACCAGTAATTCAATTCTCATTAATAATTCAGTCGTCACTATTAATTCAATTGCTAATAATTCAGCCCTCGCTAGTAATTAAATCATTCGATGCTATATAATATGAGCTATTGAAGGTACGGGTAAAATTGTCTTTCTGTTTAATTAAGCGTCACGCCATGACGACGTATGGTGGAGTGGAAGTTTTTCTCCATGCATTCTTAACGTCTGTACTCTATGGAGCTCAGTGGTCAATTTCACGTCTAGACATTTTATCCCCGTGGAAAAATCCCCCAGTACCTATTGGATAGAGAGCTGGGTGAGCCCCGGAGCCCATCTGAACGCTGTAGAGAAGAAAAAAGTGTTTACCCCTGCTGGGAATCGAACTATTCGAAGCGTCGTAAGTAAATCAACAAGATCAACATATACCTGTACCTCTATGAATCATGAAACAGTTATTTTTGGCTCTCATGCAGGAAACTCGGTTACCATGGAGACATGGAAACAGAACATTGGAACCCACACGTTCGCCTTGGAGAAAAACAAGTCTGCCTGCAACATGAGATGAACATTGCCGTGTATTTCAGACATTTGTCCTTAGTTTTCTTCTTTAGCGTGACTCGGTCCTCTTTCATTACTGACTGATATTAAAAAAAAGCCATTCCTGGCTCGTAAAGTTTGTAATTTTGTCACTTGTCACACGGTCATCCCAACAGAGATATAACTGCTAGGCTAAAGCATCGGTTCATCACGCTAACTATCTATTTATGGCCGGGATAGCTCAGTAAGCATAGGGACTAGACTGTGTCAAAACCGGCTCTAAGGCTTATCCAGCCTCCTATCCAAAGGGCACCAGGGCCTCTTTCTGTGGGGGTAAAGCGGCAGAGGCGTGAAGCTGACCACTCATTTCCATCTAGTGTCGAAGTTAAGAATACGTGGAGCTATGGTTCCACTCCCCCATACATCTATGGAGACAGCGTGTTTCTCTGAAACTTTGATATGTGTTGTCGTCATAGCTGAGAAGACCACAACTTGCATTGTTTGGCTGTGTATGTGTGAAGGACACGCTCATACTCTCCAGGCATTTGCGTGCTGCGGGACTGAGAGAAGCCCTCAGCTAGGATACCCAGTTTCAGTTGCAGCCCAAGACGTGAGGTGATAGCCTGTAAGAGACCTGTGCTTACCTTTTTGGTCCTCTTCGCTTCTCGGATGCGCCGTATCACCCGGTCGAGGTCTCGTTCTATCTTATGCAGCCAGCCCTGGGCTTGTCGCTTCTCCAGGGCCTCCAGACTGACCTGCGAAACGCACAGCATCTACAGGCTTGCCTAGGCCATGACGCTGAAGAGATATAAGAAGGAAAGCAAGACAGAGCAGGAGGGGACGGAGGATAGGAGGAAGATGCGAACAAGAGCAACGGGGAAATTGTAAAACAAAAGGGACAATAAGAGAAAGAAGAGAGGCCATGCCATAGATCAGGCTACCCACCGCACGGCCCAAGTTCAAACCCACGTCAGGTCATGTGCGATTTGCGGTGGATAGAAAGTGGCACTGAGGCCGGCTTTCTCCAAGTACTTCTAGAGTTCCCCTGCCTATTGTCATTCTGCCACATTCTACATTCATTAATCATCAGACGCAACATAGTCTCAACACTGACAGCGTCGTTAAATAACCAACCAAAAAGACAGAAGAGGGTCTGGAGGGATAACAAATGGAGATAAAGTGAGGAGAAGATAAAGTTATGATGTCGGTCTTACCTCCGCGACGACCCCGATGCAACCTGCAATGACGGCTGCTTTTGGCTGTGCGCCGCTCATGCCTCCGAGCCCCGAGGTGACAAACACTTTCCCCGCCAGGTCTTCTGTCCCTAGGTACTTCCTGCCCGCATTCAGCACCGTGATCTGCAAGTCAAGTCCGAAAGTATCGCGCGACAGCTTGTGACACTTATACAGAGTGATTATACATTATTGTCGGGGTTTCCGTGGCCTATAAGCGGAAACCCCGACAATAATTTAGAATCACTCTGTATATCGCTTTGCCCGCTGGATAGGAGCGGCAGAGCCTGTCGGACGGGCCTGCTTCTATCGGGAATCAAAACCGCGTCGTCTGGAATATGATATCGTGTACAGACAGAGCTGTGCTTGCTGCCTGTTCAATGCTGGTTTCTTGCTTGACTTACTCCTCAGCTCTAGAGATGGCAGCGATATGTTTCTCCGAAACGTCGGGTTGTCTCTGAACTACACAGCGATATATCCCAGAAAATATAATTCCTCATGGCCATCGCTGTTAGAACGTCATATCAAGGCCTGTCTTTGCAATTCATTTTATTTCCAAGCACAAATGGATAATTATTTTCAAATGCGCCCCAAATCGCGATGGTATTTCGTGCTCTGTTCCTTACTTACTGATTCCGCAAATAATTAAAATACAGTTCATATTCATATCAGCGCGGTAGCGTAGCTGGTTGAGGCACTATGCTACAAGCCGGAAGGTCGCGGGTTCAAGTCCCGATGAGGTCATTGGATTTTTTCAATTGACTTAATCCTTCCAGCCGCACTATGGCCCTGGGGTTGACTCAGCCTCTAACAGAAATGAGTACCAGGAATTAATTAAATCATTTTCTTAGGGAGTAAAGGCCGGCCGGCGCGTTAGGCTTACAACCTTACCGCCATCTTTGAGCTGATTGTCTAGATAATGTGAGACCCTCAACGTCTCACAACCCTATGGGCCTTCAAGGCCTGTTACAGGGATAGCTTTACTTTTTTAGTTTATTGGCCGTCCTGATCTGAACTGGATGGAACTCTGTGGTAATCCGACGCAATGGAGAGATTTTGTGTGTGCGTTTTGAACTTTCGGGCTCTCTCACCCGAAATTGACTTGAAAGTTGACAGAGGAGAACCAGACATAGAAATGTCTTTGCATTGGAGACGGGACTGTCAAGGTTCCAGTGCTCAGAGGCTGACTGTACCAACCAACAATCGATTTCACTCCCCTTGACCCTACGAGCGAGAAAGGTCGACGTGCACGGTGTAGTTCTGTAGTTCTCCGGAAGAGACGCCAGTCTCTGGGCCCGTTTCTCGTGGCGTGTCTTGTAACTATTTTATGAACCGTCCCAATGTTGGAGGCTGTATCGATAAGGAAGTGAGCAGAGGACTGGCGTGAAGAACCGAGATCACGTGTATCTGATTACGTAACCAGCACAGAAAGTCCCGTCTTATTGAAATCAGAAGGCTCGTTACTGTATTCACAAGAGACCACCATTGGACACCATCCTGAGTAAGATAAATTCAATCTTCACCCCCCACGTACCACCTTTAAGGTCCATTTTATTAATATTCTCCCGCTTACGCCAATGTCTTCCAAGTGTCTCAAGTTTTCCTACCAAAATTTTGTATGCATGTCTCATTTCTTCCCTGCCATTTGATTGTTTATAGCAGAAGAAGTGACGGACGGGGAACATACATGGTTAAGCGTTTACCTAAACACCTGTGTGTGTCTGCTGCTTCAGAACTTCTGAAGATCATCACATGTGACGCCGATATTCAATGAATTTGACTATCCCTGCTACACAATGTCAGTAATTCGAAGTGCGTCCCTAAATGAAGCGAGAACCGCTGTTATTGAAGTGACATGAACTGTCCCACTTACCGTTGTACCGTGTACGATCCCTTGAGGGCCGATGTAGCAGTAGCTGCCGGCCGTCATCTGCCCGAACCTGGGAAGGCAGATCGACACTGTGTAACTGTTCTGACGTGACCCTCCATCACATATTGTTGAGAATGTGGGCTCCCCCAGTGGGGGGAGGGGGGGGGGAGAATTCAGCCAGTTTTGCAAGACGACAGATATGAAAGTGGGTTACCAACTTTGATACCTACTATTCTTCCTAGAATATTCAGGAAATAATAATAACAATAGCTTTAAAAATAATTCCAGTTTTTGGTATTTGTATAGTTCATGGGGGCTTGCTTCCCGCACCCCACCCTTGCGGGCGCTCATGATGAAGAAAATTCTTCGGCCTAAGAGAGGTAAACAAATAGCGAATGCAGAACATTACATGGCCAGGAGCATCATATGCGAGATTTGAGGTTCCCATGGCTGTTAATATGAAGAGAAATATCTTCTGGGATCTCTGACACCGTGTAGTTCGCTAGATCCTCGCCAACATTTCGGAGGAATGGGCTGTTTCCTGAAGGCGGTGGCAGTGTCTTCCTCCGAAACGCTGAAAACAGGCTACCTACTACATAATGTCCTACCCAAGAAGACAGCAATATGAAACTTCACCGCTGACAAAATCTGGAAACGTATAACCAACACCTGTTGTAAGAAACCCAATTTCTACGCTGAAATATAATAATAGTAGTAGTAGTAGTAGTAGTAGTAGTAGTTAGTTAGTTAGTTATTGGAGAGGGTGGGTTTCCCCATGCACTTAGACCAGTATTGGTCTATTGTGCTTCCCTCTATGATATTCTACCAGTCTCTATACCCTACCGATATTGGTGCGTACCATCAGTCCCGACCGAGCCAGCGAGTTCGGCCTCTACTGGCTTGGCGGTATCTATAATGCTTCCCCCATCTATCAGAGGCATTAGAAACTACTGTTGGGCGGGAAACGTCCTTGAAATTGGCTCAGTGACCTCCTTTGGAGATATGAGGTTCTTTTACATGCCGTAAAGCTACGACACGGGACACGCGGCTTAAAAGTCCCTCCCGGAGTACTTGTTCCATGAATTTTTCCGCCCTTAAAAATTCGACACCTCCGCCGGGTTTGAACCCGCGTACCACGAGTCATGAGGTGGGAACGTTACCTCTAGACTTCGGAGGCTGCTTAGTAGTAGTATTAGTATTAGTATTAGTAGTAGTAGTAGTAGTAGTAGTAGTAGTGGTAATAATAATAATAATAATAATAATAATAGCAACACCCGCCGAACGCGGTACTCCTGCGCCGTTTTCGAGAGGTGCGGGTTCAAATCGGCCGTGAGACCCTCTATCCCCGACCAAGGTGCAACAAAGGACTGTACAACCATAGGCAGATAGACTGGAACACTCACATTGTCACCCCCAGCGCGAACATGTTATCGTAGTTTTGTCTGCTGGAGTAATTGGGGATCACCATTCCGTTGGTGATAACAGCCCGGGGAGCAGCGGCACCACTGGGAAACAGCCCCAAGGGGTGTCCAGAACACATGACCAGAGTCTGCTCCTCGCTCATCTGGGACAAGTACTGCATAGTCAGCCAGAACTGCAAAGACACATACACAGAGTCACTTCGTGCTGTCAGAGCAACGTCACTTCCTACTCATAAACGGAAATGAAAATCTATCTGTCTGTCTATGGCTCTACAGCCCTTGTAGACCTTGGCATCTTTTTCACTTTCTTAATCTATACACAGTCGGTAAGACTCCTTGGACGGGGGATCAGCCCGTCGCAAGGCCGCTACCTACACACAGAGCAACACAAACACAGAATAAAATCACACAGATATCAATGTCTCGAGTGGGATTTGAATCCACGATCCTAGCGTTCGAGAGGGCAAAGATGGTTCATGCCTTAGACCGCGCGGCGGCCACTGTGATCGGCTCTTTATTAAATGAGTAGGTCTGTATCACATAAAAGGTAAAGCTGTGAGACGTCGAGGCTTCCATATTTTCTAGACAATTGGCTCACAGATGGCTGCCCTTTACCACCAGGAAAATTCCTGATACTCATTTCTGTTAGAGGCTGAGTCAGCCCTAGGGTCAATTGAAAAATCCAATGACCTAATCGGGAACAGAACCGCCAACCTTCCGGCTTGTAGTATAGTGCCTCAAGCAACTACAGTACCTCGTGCCCCCTATATCAAATAGCAGGAACAAATTATGAAACTCGTTTCAGGACTAGGCAATCCTCTCTCGAAATCATGTTTGCCGCTCTCTCACGCTCGTGACTATGGAGTTCACCGACTGATGTTCGGCTTTTGAATTAAGTTTACCGGTACACATATGCGTACCGGCGCGTACCGGCTGAAGGAAACCAACTTCCTATCATTTCTTCTTACAAAGACTCAAATATTGGTGTCGGGATAACGACGGGCTACGGGCTGGACGACCAGGGTTCGATCGTCGACAGGGTCCAGACCGGGCCCTGGGACCCACCCAGCTTCCTCTCCGATGAGTATAGCGGACCCTTTCGCCGGAACTAAAGCAATAAGGGGTATAAAGCTGCACACTTATTTCACGCTAGTGCCGAGGTTAAGATTGCGTGGATCTGTACCTCCACTTCCGTAGTCTTCATGGCGTAGTCCTTAATTAATTAAACAGAAAGACAAATTTATCTCTAGGTTCAATAGTTTGTTTGGAAATTTGTTCTCAAACATTTGGCCTACAAGTTTTCAATTCTCACAACCCGCATCTGCATGCACAGAGGAACTCGGTATGAAGTGCGTCACATCTTCAGTTACATTTCAATTGAAAGCGCCGGGAAATCTGAAATATCGTGCGGCTACTGCACGCACCTGTGCCCAGTTGGAGAACACTTGCCCGTTGCCACCGTAGGTCACTAGTTCTTGGGGGAACTGCGCCACTTCCGGGTCCAGGTTGTTCAGAATCATGAGCATTATGGCCGCTGCGTGCTGATTCCTCGCGGGGAAGTCCCTCAGCGGGTAGGCTCTGCAACCGGCAGCACCTCTTCATCACACTATCCATTTAATCGTACGTAACGTGTTTCAGAGTAACAAGTAAAACATGTAAAAACCCTGAGGCTTAAAACCATGATTTTCAGATTAAGTCACGGGGCATAAAAGTTTGTGGCGATGTTATATTAATAAAATTATTGACTTTTTGGAATTCACATAGAGTTTTGGTGGAAAAACCAGAGGCAAAGAGAATACTAGGAAGACCTAGACGTATGTGGGAGGTTAATATTAAGATTGATTTCAAAGATAGGATAAAGATATAAGGTGTAATAGACTGGATTGGTCTGGCTTAGGATAGGGACCAGTGGAGGTCTCTTATGAACACGGTAATGAACCATCGAGTTTCATAAAAATGTTGGAAAATTCTTGAGTAGCTGCGCAACTGGCAGTTTCTAAGTTATTGATTTTTTGGACATTATCCATCGTCCTGCTTTTTATTTAAAAACAACGTTTCGGAAACTGGACTCTGTGTCCGTCCTCAGGTGAAAACGTACTGAGCTGGACCCACACGAAAGAGCTATATCTGGGGACAGGGACTAAGAAGCTGGGTCGTTCTTGAAGGGTTGGATTAGGGTTGCAGGAGTTTTGCCAGGTGAGAAAGAGGTCAGCGCAGTATTTCTATATTCTAATCATCGGAAAAGCATAGTATGCAAGATGAATATCAGTAATGACCGCATCAGTGCGACAGATGGTGCTGCTTGCAGCTGCTGACAAGGTTTTCATTTGAGTTTGAAGAATATTGATATAAGTGAAAATCAATAATACAGGCAGATGTTCACAGTAGCTCCGCGGTCCCGATACAAATATCGGCCTGCGGACCGTACTTTGTCACTCCTCCACTACACCATATCCCTGACATAGCTAATCCAGTACACAGGCTCCAAACCTATTTCTTTAAGACCAGTTTATCATCCCATCTATGCTTAGGTCTTCCGGTCTCTTCCATTCAGGTTTTCCGATTGAAGTGCATTCGTTTCTGAGGAGTGTAACACCCTGTAGTCCGGTAGAAGTTCATCGACGGAAGAGCGCACTGCCTCTTTCTTCAGGGTTAAAAATTAAGTCAAGCAAGTCAGCGAAAAGCAGAGATGACGGTGAAGAACCCGCAGCCCTCCGGTTACGAGGCAGAGTGGAGTTAGTTAGTTAGCTAGTTAGAGGGCTCATCTCACTCACTCACAAAGTACCGACATGCGCAGTATTGTCTCACCTGACGGGGAACTGCGGCAAGAACCTGTACATGTAAATATGGCCGTACTCCCTCAGTTCAGACTCGAACTCTAGGGCTAGGGCACGATGGGTGCTGGGCGGGAAGTAGCGCAGGGCGTTCTGTACAGCCAGCTGAAACCAAAATCACAATTACAAATCATTCTAACAAAATTTAGAGGAAGCAAGAATTGTTAGAGCACATCATCAGAGGAAATCGAGGCTTAGATGGGAGGATAATAATAAAATGGACCTTGAAGAAAGAGATTGTGAACGTAGCTGGATGTAAGGCTCACTGCCATGCTTTTGTGGTGAAGGTGTTGGAAGTTTTTTCTTCGATAACAAAAAAAAAAAAAGAATTTATTGACCAAATTATTATCTTCTCCGAAACGTCGTAAAGATCTATCATATTACAGGACGTCACATATGAGAAAACGGTACGCTTTGTAGACAATTTGTTGAGCAGTTACAGCTATGTCTATTGCGGAAGGGGTTGCATGGGGTTAGACAGACAGCATTTCATGTCATTATCATACGTAATTCTCCGTGCTTTGTTTTCCTTCATTGGGACAAATGTTCTTCTCAGTACTTTCCTGTGAAATGCATCCGGATCTGATTCTGCCTTTTTGGCGACACTCCAGCTTCCACTTGCCTACCATATCACCGGTCTTATCGCCGTCTCATGCAGCAATTTCTTTGTTTGACGGTGGATTACTGGGTAGCAGTGAAAAATACATCCTATTTGCTTGAAGTCTTCGGATCTCCGTCTCCTCGCCGCAGTTTGCACTTTGCTATGACCCCAGATACACAAAGTCCTCAACATCCTCTGTTGTTTTTCCCATTAGCGTTGCACTGTGGCTCTGCTTATCTGCCATTTTTATTTGTGTTCATTTCGAAGTTAATTTCTTTTGCTGCTGTAGCCAATTCATTCTACATTTCAGTCGCATCTGACAAGGACCGAAAGGTAACAGCAATGCCATCTGCATGAGCCAGAACACGTGTTGATTTACATTCTATCGTCAGCGGCCTCCGTAGTCTAGGGGTAACGTTCCCACCCCATGACTCAAGGTACGCGGGTTCAAACCCGGCGGAGGTCGTGGAATTTTCAAGGGCGGAAAAATTCAGGGAATAAGTCCTCCGGGAGGGACTTTACGCCGTGGGTCCCGTGTCGTAGATTTACGGCACGTAAAAGAACCTCATGTCTCTAGGAGACCTCTGAGCAAAATTTGGTCAAAAGTTTCCCGCCCAAAAGAGTTTCCAATGCCTCCAGTAGATGGGGGAAGCATTAGGTACCACTGCCAGAGGAGGGGGGACCTCTCTGACAGAAAGGGACTAACTATTAGATACCACTGCCAGTAGAAGGTTGGAACCTCGCTGGCAGAAAAGGGCTGATAGTAAGCACCAGTACCGGTAGGGTATGGAGACGGTAGAAATTAAAAGGGGGACGCACAATAGATCAATACTGGTCGCGGTGCATGGGGAAATCCACCTCCTCAATACTGAATAACTGAATACATTCTATCGTCCCTTTCAGATCAGTGCTTATCTTCCTAAAAATAAACTCCGAAACTAAATTAAGTAGCAGAGGAGTCAAGGCATTCCATTGTTTCAACCCGTTGTTCTGTAGTTATCGCATTCTTAACCTAGTCTGCTCCCTCGGGCTGCTTTCGTTCTGATGATTTCAACTGGTACATGAAAATGGAGCGTTGATTCTTATAGCTTCTCTCTGTTAGTATGGTCATAGATGTACTATATCTTAAATAAGTCGACATTTTACTCCCAACATTTTTCCGATATCTATTTCAGAGTAAATGTATGGTCCATGGTAGATCTGCCTTCCCGCCATCCGGTCTGATATTCCCGGGTCAATTGCTCAGCAATGCTTTCAAGCCGTTTCCTGACAATACCTCACTATTTTGTATGTGGTAGACAGAAAGGAGATCTCTCTGAATTCATTGCACGTTAATTTATCCCCTTTATTATAGATAGGAAACGTGTTATGTGGGCCATAATCTGTTCACCACTTTCACTAGAATTCCATTTGACATTTTCAATTTCCAGGAGAAACTGAAATGGTGGAAAATCTACCCCTTTAGGTGTTTGTCGGAGGCGTACGTTTGTCATTACCAACTTCCATTCTCTCATCACACAACGCCAGTATTAAAACTGGAATTGCAAAGTTTTACATTGGCGTTTCTATGGCAACAGAATCCCTAGGAGCGCCATCCAGCAGACGTACGTCTGGATATAATAACAGAGAGCAGTAGAGAACTCAGCCCCTGATCCTGGAGACAGAGATAAGCAAACTGCTGTTTCACCCGCAAGGATTTTCCTCAAATTGAATCAAAGTTTCTTAATTCCTTCTCTTATCTTCTAAGCGTTGATTCGCACCAGTGGCGAATTCGCTGATGGACTGTCTTCACTGCGGCGCTTCCTTTCCTTACCAAACATTGATGCTTTCGAACCTCAGTTTAATCTGAATTATGTTTAACATTTCAGTTCCTCATAGGAAAACACAGGATAAATAATTGTTATTTATATCGAGGTTCGTATGAAACTCATGAATATAGTACTGGAGCAAAATGCAGAATTAATTAGCTTTAAAGCAGGGACCACATAAAATTAATCAATTTTCCGTAGGATTTACACTCTTAGGATTTGGGTTTGAAATCCCAGGGGGGGGGGGACTCTTAGAGAGAGACAGGCATAGAAGGAAGGATCATACCAAAATGTGTCTGAGTGTGGACTGGATTCTTCTGGCTCAATATGGCGCCCAGTGCACACTGTAATAACCTTCGGATTCTGCAAGAGGCTGGCACTTTGCCACACTCTCCTCAACTGCCTTGCTCTCATCGTCTCAGCAATGTCATTATGAAGCTCCTCATTAATCAGTTATAAACGGAAAATACTCGTAAATTTCAGGGGTTTACACGTGACTTACACTGGTCGCAGCGCTTATGACGTCTGACACTTGCTGTGTGCCGCCGTCCGGACACTCCTGTGCTGGCAGCGGCCCTGTGTTGGGCCAATGCTCCGTCCAAGAAATCCCACCATTTGTTTACATCATTTCAGAAGATAAATATTAGTCACATGTTAGGTCGGTCCCTTGTCACCACGGCATGGCGCGTCCTCAGGTTGCGGATAGAGGAGACGGCCTCCAGATATGGAGGGTAGCTGCGACTATACTGAATAAGCAGTCGCGGACAACCGACAAGGAGTGTTCTCCAGCTTGGGGGCTGGGTGTGATACTAACAACTCCTCGCCCTAAAAAATAAATTTGTTACTAAATGTCACAAAGGGCCTCTGACCTGGACGGGTTCTTTGGATAAACGACGTAAGCTAAGGAAAATGGACATGAAATTCGATACATGGAATGTAAGGAGTCTGTACAGGGCAGGTTCCTTCGTAACTAAAATGGATCTTAGAGACATAGGATGGGATGATGTGGACTGGATTGATCTGGCTCAGGATAGGGACGAGCGGAGGGCTCTTGTCAACACGGTAATGAACTTTCGGGTTCTGTAAAATTTTGTGAAATTCTTGAATAGCTGCACAACTGGCGGCTTCTCAAGAAGTGGGAACAGGCCAGAGGAGTTGAAGAAGAAGAAGAAGAAATGTGACGTATGTCCTTATTCCTCTTGTTCCAGTATTTGTTGTTGCTTTATCCCAGTCGGTCGGTGAAAAATGTTCAAAGTTGCCAAGTTATTAAATGACCAGTTGTCATGGAAACACAAGCTGTAGCCCGAGATTGCTTTCTGCGACTTATTCTGTGAAGGCAAGGACGCCAGGTTCCGGTGGGCAGATTTGAAATGTCACAACTTCCGAGACGGTCTTAATATTGCATCTGATGTTCACCCAACCGGCAGATACACTGTGTATCTGTGTCTAGTATCCAGGAAACTACACGACGTTTCTGATCTCTGCCCTTTCATACTTCCCGTTTGTATCCTTTTATGTCACCCAGCACCTACGAAGTTACGTTATTTCTCTCGTTTTATGTCCGGTATTTCTGCTCAGTGATGATAGAAATTGTGTCGGATGTCATTTTATAGATTGCCAAGAAATGAAGGCGCGTTTGTATGATGCTACAGGTTGTCCGGTTTATCTTTGGTTTGAGAGAGCACAGAACTAAAGCCAACGCCGAGATATGGCTGAGAGTCAGGTAGGATAAATCCCGTCAGAATTTCAACAGGGATTTGTTGCTTTTATCAACGACATATTTTGCCACATATTTATTTATTTATTTATTTTATTGCTAGTGGGGTGGGATAAGTCCCTTGTACTGCGGCCACTTCTGGCCTATTGTACCAAGACGAGATGACAGGTGAGGGTGATTGTGGAGCAATTGGTGGAATGAAGATTGGCAGGGGAAACCGCAGTACTCGGAGAAAACCTGCCCGAGCGCCACTTTGTCCACCACAAATCCCACTTGACCAGACCCGGTGGGAAGCCAGCGACTAACCGCTTGAGCTATGGCGCGGCCACGTACTTATTTAACTGTGATCCACTCTTGAGGGACAATTTGAAATAACAATTGCAGGCTTATGCTATGGACTTGATAAGTTACACTTACACTAATGTATCGAACTTGATAGCATAATAATGCGCACTAAGCAGTGCTGCTATCAACAGGTAAGCTTTGAAATTCAGTCGGCAAAGGTGCCCTCTACAGTACCGACTCTTCGCTGCCACTTTCGCTCTAGCAACTTCGTCACACTTCGGCCTGCATGCAAATAAGGTAGCAACGGCGTGATAATCTACCTTAAAATGAAATAAAATATTTTAGGTGCATTTTACATCAAAATGAAGAGCAGAACAGCGTGACAACAGAGCAGCACCAACTTACACTCCTGATGATAGCCGGTTAGGCCGAAACGTGTTGGTTGCATAGCGAGCGAAGATGTCGAAGTGTGAATATCAATACATGACGAAGGTGCACAAAGACGGCGGGAAGTTAAAAGTAGAACTATCCCTGTAACAGGCCCTGGAGGTCCATAGGGTTGTGAGACATCGAGGTTCCCACATTTTCTAGACAATCGGCTCACAGACGGCGTTGAGGTTGTCAGCCTTACGTGCTTACCGCCCTTTACCGCCAGCCAGATTCCTGGTACTCATTTCTGTTAGAGACTGAGTCATCCCAGAGGCATAGTGAGGCTGGAAGGATTAGATCAATAGAAAAATCCACTGACAATCATCGAGAATCGAACCCGTGACCTTCCGGCTTGTAGCATAGTGCATGACGGCGAGGAGTGAGAGCATAAAGTTTGAATGCACAGTGCAACAGAACGCTGCAGTATAATTATCGTCTGTTCATATGGAACTTTTATTTTTCTTCTCTTTTGCAGAGCCCTTCGCTTTGCGCAAGCGCGCTAGAGCTGATGATCCTAGTTAGAATACAGGTAGTTCGAATAAATCTGGAAGAAGGTAAATGCTGTCAGATGAGTACTCACTCTCTGCTCCGGGGCGGTGAGGTTGTGGCTCCTAACCGGGGCATGAGGCAGGGCTTCGTCCCGTTTGCAAGGCGGTGGCAGTGGCTCCAGGGGAAGCCCCCTTGACAGTACTTCCAGAACTGCAGCCATGTCGGGCGCTGAGAGCGAACTGACAACGCGCCGCGCTGCTCAAGGTGAACACGGATGTGCATGCATGTTGTTTACCAGCTTTGGTCTCACCGCACCTGAGAAACAGTTCACACCCAGGAACTGCCTTCGCAGAACACGGTATCCGGTTTTAGCGTCTTCCTCCTCTTGAAGGTTACGGTATTTTAGGATTTGAAGCCGTGTAGTCTGGTTGCCAACGTTTCGCAAGAACCTACTGTCTCCTTTGATCCCTCCATTTACATAGGATTTTTTATGCTGTGGATAGACGCAAATATTACGCAGTAACTGCCTTCTAAAAGAAGTTATTCAAGGAAAGATAGAGGGCCGGATAGAAAGGACCAGAAGACGTAAGAAGATGCTGGATGACCCTGGGGACAGAAGAGGATATTCTCATTTGAAGGAGAAAGCTCTAGATCGCATCAAGTGGAGGAACTGTTTTGGAAGAGACTGTGGACCTGTCGTCTTGACAGATTACAGATGAATGAATGAGGCGCAAATAACCAAAGTTGCTGTCTCAGCTGTAACCACACCCACTCAGTAACTAAGGTTATGTAGTGTCGAATAATAGGATAATCGTGAAAAATTAATTGGAAAGGGTGTGCAATGAAGTTGTCGGAGGCTAATTTCAGTTATTGTTCCCATTTAAGGAACGCCACGAAAATCCCTGGTCAGAATTTTCGGTGTGCTAAACGAGATTCGAACGGGACATCTCTCGGTTGTAAGTGAGAAGCGTCGCCGCTTGGGACAAGTAGCTCAATGTTATAAATTGCAAGCGGAGTTGACCTCAGGAGCAGTCTCCATTTGGTTACTGACTTCTTCACCCCGACTCCTGTTTCCCCTGAAATGAAACCCTGCAGACACAACTCTACTTACTTACTTACGTACTTAATCCGTGCTATAGCTTAAGCGGTTAGTCGCCGGCTTCCCACCGAGGCGACACGGGTTCGAACTCAGGTCAGATCATGTGGGATTTGTGGTGGACAAAGTGACACTGAGCAGATTTTCTCCGAGTACTTCGGTTTCCCCTACCAGTTCTCATTCCACCGACTGCTCCACACTCATCATCTAACACCCGGAGCTGGTACAATAGGCCAGTAGTGGCCGACGTGCCAAATGGACTCAGTCTCACCCCACCCCAAGAAACTAAAAAAAAATGCTATACTTACTTAATGTTTGACTCTACAGTCCTCTAAGAGCCTTGTTTTTTTTTTTATAACAGATGACCATTCTTCTCTATTGTTTGCCTTTTACCTCCATTTCTTCGTTTTAAGCTCTCGTAAATTATTCTCCACATCTCAGTCTGGGCCTTACCAACATTTTCTAGCTAGTGGTTTACTTTAAAAAATTCTGTTAGCCACCCTAAACACCACAAGGGAACAGACTCTACACTTTTACTTTTCACATTTCTTTAAGTCTCCACCATATCGAAGTGCATCTCTATGATGTCTCTAAGCCTAACAGTTCTATACATCTCTATGACGTCTCTAAGCCTAACAGTTCTATACATCTCTATGACGTCTCTAAGCCTAGCAGTTCTGTACATCTCTCTGATGTCTCTAAGCCTAACAGTTCTATACATCTCTATGATGTCTCTAAGCCTAGCAGTTCTATACATCTCTATGACGTCTCTAAGCCTAGCAGTTCTATACATCTGTATGATGTCTCCAAGCCTAACAGTTCTATACATCTCTATGATGTCTCTGAGCCTAACAGTTCTATACATCTCTATGACATCTCTAAGCCTAACAGTTCTATACATCTCTATGACGTCTCTAAGCCTAGCAGTTCTATACATCTCTATGACGTCTCTAAGCCTAGCAGTTCTATACATCTGTATGATGTCTCCAAGCCTAACAGTTCTATACATCTCTATGATGTCTCTGAGCCTAACAGTTCTATACATCTCTATGACATCTCTAAGCCTAACAGTTCTATACATCTCTATGACCTCTCTAAGCCTAGCAGTTCTATACATCTCTATGACGTCTCTAAGCCTAACAGTTCTATACATCTCTGTGAGGTTTATATTTTACAACATACTTAATTTTTCTGTGACCATTTTTCACGAAATCGATGAAATCCTATTTGAGCCTATAATGGATAGTTATGAAGCTAAGGTAAATTCTCTCAAGAGCTTTTAGTATAGACGTTCAATAATAAATTTCTCCCAAAACTTCCATTGGTTTTGTGACCTTTGCCGAACACAAAACATTAATTCCATCAAATGAGTTACTCTTATTTCCATACTGTTCGTTATTTACGATTTAGTTTAAGAGCATAACAGACAAATCACACAGGACAGACACATTAATGTTTTGACACACACACACAACAATTAAGTAACTGAACAACTTGGCATGCATGTGTCAACGCTCACTTCCTCGTAGTTCCGGAAGGTGCTAACAGATGTCATGGCAGTTCCAACTCAATTACGTGCTCGTGGCCGCTCGTGGCGGCAGGCGGCGTTCGCCATTTTTGGAGTGACCATCAGCAGACAAGCTGGGAGGGGTTTAGAATGAAGGTTGCTCTCAGTTAGGTAGGTGTTATTGTGTGTTTTATACAGAAGAAATATCGCTGGCATAGTCGCATTAACTGTCGCCACTACTTGTCCTCGTCACATATCAGGTGAGTAGTACTTTACTGTTTCCATGAAGACAGATATTATGCGAACACTTTCCATGGTAAGGCCCTATGTTTTCCATACATGCTTATTTTGTCTCTGGCAACTGTGTTACAAATAACTGTCGTAGGGTCAAGGTACTGTGACTATATTTAGACAAACATCACGAGGAGTGTGCCAGTGAACGTCATTTATGTTGAAGACGAGGTATTTAATCATTTGCTTATCACTTGACCACGAGGGTTGTGGATCACAGCCGTATTGATTAATACCGCGCTGCATAGGTTTTCATTGCTGTATTGATGGTGTTTAACTCAATCTCCCGTTACATGTTAGGGGAGGTCGTCTAACCAACAATGTATGTTTAAGAGAGTTGGAATAAATTTGAAAAGTTAGTGAAGTGATGTCTTGGCGCGGTATGCAACCGGCACGTGTGCATGAATACGGTACAGAAGTGTAACAACAGTTCTTGTGTTATTTTAGCGTTATTTCAGAGAAGTGGAAATACCGACATGAGGGAAAAATAATTTCTGCTTACTTGGAGCTTAATGTTATTAACCTTATTTGAGAGTGATGTGTGCCTCCGCCATGTTATATGTGTAGAGGGTGTTTTAGAACAGGGTGATAAGGAGAATATTTGGACTGAAAGGGATGAAATAATAGGAGGCTGGAGAAAATTGAGGAGCTTCATAACTTGTACTCTTCGGCAGATATAATCCGAATGATCAGGTCAAGGAGCATGTCTAGGGTATGTAGCACGCATGTGGAGAAGAGAAATGCATATAGGATTTTGGTAAGGAAGCCAGGAAGAAAGAGACAACTAGGAAGACCTAAGCGTAGTTGAGAGGGTAATGGATGTTAAGAGAAATTAGGTGGGGTGGTATGGACTGGATTGATGTGGCTCAAGATTGTGTCGAGTGGCAGGCTCTTATGAACACAGTAATGAACCTCTGGGTTCCAATTTTTTGGGAGGAAAATTCTTAAATATCTGAGCAACTGGTGGCTTGTACTTAGTTATTTGGTTCATTTATTTTGTTGCTTGTTTATGATTATTTGGCAACGCTGTATAGCGTCGAAATACGAGGTCTGTTCGGAGATTAACCTCCGACGGGATGTTAAGAAAACAAGCAATGAGAAAAAAAATTGTATGCAAGAAAATACGTACATACTTAAGCCACGTTGCTCTTAATCCTGATTATTTATTCGCCCATTTTTGAACATTCAACACCATTGTCATACAGTTCCTTCACTCATTACATTTTGGCCGTAAACAGCTCATAATTCACGACGGATTTCCGCAGTACCCATGCTTTTACCACGAAAAAGGCGGTTAACATTACGAGTTTCGCAGCTGGCGGGATTGTCAATCGCAAGACACATGATAACTCACTCTATAGAGGCAAGAACAAACACTAGGTGACCAGTTATATGATGGGTTACAAGGCAAGGAGTCATGTGACGTTACCTCGCATGCGCGAGCTCTCAACCTCTCCTACTTTAGTTGCCTAAAATTAACGGAGGTTACGTGCCGAGTACCCCATGCATTTGCACTTTATCAGAAGTGGAATTTAAGATTATGTTATCTACGCCGTTTATCGAAAACGAAATTGACGATGGGATTTACGAAAATATTATCTGCACTGTCGTTCAGAGAGTTGTTTTCAGAGGGGGAGAGTCTGTGTGAACTAATTAGAGGTGCAGGGAAATAAGGAAACAGGCGCCCTTCTTAAGGGCTTCGCTTTCATGGCTTTGTGTTAAAGCACAGTGTCAGTCTCTTACTATGCATCATGCAAGACTCGCGTATCGAGCCATGTCTGTTATGTCACAGGGGTGCAGTCACCCCCACCAGACGGGGTGTTGACCTCAAGTTCTGTCGGCACACGACCGTGTGAGAGACAGCGAACCTGTTTCTAGGTTAGCGGACGTCTTTCGGTGGCTGCCTCGTGTTACCTGTCTCTCTCCCATCCTCGAACACACGCACGCACATAACACACGGTTGTCTGTGACTCACACCGTAGTAACCGGAAATGTTGATGAGGTTTTTATGTTTTAAAGACCCTGCGAAGCGGCAACTCCTCAGATTCATATTTTGGCGTCCCTTGGTTTAGATCTCTCTAGTGATATCGACTGTTCTACTGGAAGTTTCTCATGAGTTCCGTGAGGCCCCCAGGACAAATCCAGGGACAGTTCCTTCTCAATAGGACATGATCGCCTGCTTGCATATGGCTTCCAGTTCAGTGTCAACCATCATCCAACAATTAGACGCAGTGTAGTCTCACTTACTGACGGCGTTGTTAAATAAGCAACCTGAGCAGGGCCGGGATAGCACAGTCGGTATAGCTGCTGGCTACGAGTTGGACGACCAAGGAGTTGGAGTTCGAGTCTCGGCAGGGTCACGAATTTTCACTTCTCCACGTCGTCCAGACCGGCTCTGGGGCCTACCCCAATGGGTACCGGAGGCGATTTCTCCGGGGGTGGAGCTAGAGCGGCAGGGGCGTGAAGCTGACCATTCACCAACTAGTGCCGATGTCAGGAAAATGTGGATCTATACATCTACTCCCCCATAAACGTTCATGGCGTAGTGCTTAAAGTAGTTAAGCACAGGGAGAACTTTCCTCAGGCCTACACGGCGTTAGACGCAGAGGACGGTAATCTGCATAGTCATGACCTCGTGAAGGTGAAATCTTGTTCGCTGCGGCATAATGAAGTAAGTGCAAGTAACGTGGCCATTTGGCAAGCAACTGATACGAGGCGGTAAAGCGTGGTTTCTCCGTTGTCAATAGTGTCCATGCATAATTTGGCAGGTCGGTACGCAGGGTTTCGTATAGCTGATTTCGGAAACTGTAACTGGAGCCGGCGAAACTTTTCGTGGCATTTTTCTGGCTGTACAGGAATATTTTACGGCTTACTGTAGGTGTAGAGAGGCTGTAAAGCTATTCAGGTTCCTGCTGTCACCGTACAGCCTGATAGGGACCTGCAACAGTGTGCATAACTGCGCTTTTCGTGACTGTACAGGAAGATTGTGTAGTTTACTGTAGGTGCAGAGAGGCTGTAAAGCTATTCAGGTTCCTGCTGTCACCGTACAGCATGATAGGGACCTGCAACAGTGTGCAGAAGTGCACTTTCCTGCTCTCATCATAGTTTCCTTTACGCTCCTTGTTTCGCTTTTCATTTCTGCCAGCGCTTTTCTTTCCCTATATATTTTTTTTACTCGCTCCCCTTATTTACCTACTTCCCTGTCTGTATATGTAACGTTCCAGTCTTCTCGTTCCCGACAATATTTGCCCTCCATTTTTCCCTTTATGTAGCGTTTTACGTCACTTGGGATTCTCTGCTGTAGACGTTACGTAAAGCGTGTTAGCCACAGTCTCTAAGTAAACATGCTCTGTTCCCAGCCTTATCAGCGCGACACGCCTGCCCGCCCATTCCCTTCATTCGACTCCACAGCATCCTGGGCAGTGATGGAGCGTACCACTTGAGGTCTCCGAGTCCTGGTACATTTTGCCTTTGTGTCATGGACAGCAGTCCCACAGTTCTGTTTGTCAGATAATGCTGTCCCGCCATAGTAAAGACATACGTGCTTTCGCCGTTTCTAAGAAGTGTATATTTCTAGTTAAGTACAGGATAGCTCAGTCGGTATAGGGACGGGCTACGGCCTGGACATCTTGTGTTCGATTCCCGGCAGGGGCAACATTTTTCTCCTCACAGCATCCAGAACGGCTCTGGGACCCACCCAGGATCCTGTCCAATGATTACAGTTTTTTTCCCGGGCGTGACTCTGGCCGGTCAACTCTCTCTGATGTCAAGACCACCATTTCTCCATATGTCATAATGACATAATGCTTAATGAATTAAGCACACGGACAACTTTACTTTTTTAGTATTATATTCAGTGGCGGCTCGTAGCTAAAATTATTGGGGGTGCTGCAGTTCCGCAGTGACTATACGCGGGCCGCCCCTGATTATATTTAATCTGTAGTGGGAGTTCGTATTTTGGAGACATTATATCCCCCCCAGCCGGTCGGAAGTCCCAACAGTGGAACGCATAAACCTTATCGCAGGGCTTTATTGCATGTTCGGTGAAACTCTGTGACCGCCCTCGAAATGCGAATCCGACGAGGTTCGTGAGTGCGTCCTTTTCAGTCGTATGGAACTTGGAAAGTCCCAGAAAGACGATTTGTTACGACGGCAATGGTGGTGGTGGTGGTGGTGGTGACGACGACGACGAATATAATGTTATGTAGATCAGTGGTTCTCAACCTTTGTCAGACCGCGGCCCGGTAAATTTTTTTTTTTTTTTTGTATGAGACCGCGGCTCGGCGGTTGAGAAACACTGATCTAGAGATACTCATTTTCGCGCAGACGCTGTAGCGCAGGTTGACAACACCTCGGCAGAAACACCGCTGCTTTCATTGCTACCGTTACCTGGCCCTGTTGTAACTCACTTAGTTTCTCATTTGGTTTCCATGGAAACGACAGACCGATAAAACACTTGCTGATTCGATTAATTATATACAGATAAAACCCGTTGGGAAAACGGCCTGGGAGTAAAGCTCACAACTCACCATCTAGTACCGAGGTCAAGAATGGTGGAGCTATACCTGCATTCCCCTGTACGCCATCGTAGTGTCGTACTTAATTAAGCACGGGGACAACTTAGTCTGTGACTAAGCAGCAGCCACTGTACCAGAGCATTTACGTTGTTATTCTCGACAGTGGCCGAGAATTGAAGAATTTGAATTAGCAAATTCCGGACTGTTACATACCGCCGTTGTTATTGTCTGATATTTTCCGACGTTCATACTTCCGCAGGCTCCCACCTGACCCAGTGGCTTCTCCCAATCCTCCCTCCAGTCTGTTACCCATAAGTTCCCACCCCAAGTTGTTATTCTCAGTTCGGCTCTTCAAGTTTTGTTACTACGAGGTAAGACGACGTTCTGATTGCAAAACGGCACTTCCATTTCGACCTATCCTCTTCCCGTTGTTCACAGCACAGCACAGATTT